ACGAAAAATATATGAAAAAACAAAACAAAACAGAAATTAATAAAATCTCTAGTAGACACACATACAGATTTGTGTGAAGTCATTTGTTTCTCACTCTTTGTGTGTGTGTGTGACCCGGCTTTTTTACGCACAAGACCCTAGCCAACCAACTAAGTTATTGGTTTAATGAAGTCGCGGTCGAATGTAAAGCTCATCAGTGAAGAAACAAAAAAAAATGTTTATGTCAATTGATGGCGATGATTATTGTGATGATGATGATTATGGCTGCGATGATGATGATGATGATGGACTCGCTTACCTGGTATATACATACACCTCTGGTTAGTCCTACGTTGATCAGAAGAAAAAAACTTTCTAAAGTTTCAGAAATTTGACCTGCTAATGAATGGATGGTTTTCTTTTTTTAGGTAAAAAAAACTAAGTTGGAAAAAAAGTCTGACAGAAAATGGTCAGACAGTCAGACGACGGCGTCGCCATCATCATCATCATCATTACCATCGTCGTCGTTGTCTTCGTCTTGCTTGGACAACTATGAATGAATTCCCTGACTGACTGACAAAACTTAAGGGGCCAAATGAACACACCGATTGTTCGAACGATCAATCGATCGATCGGTCAAAGTTGATGATGGGTAGAGGCGTTCCATTTTGTATTCTGTCTGTCTGTTGTTTTTTTTTTCGTTTTGCGGCCTTTCTATGTCGGTCTGACCTGACCTGTGCAAGGCAACGAAAACAAAAACTGAATAAGAATATTTTTTTTTTTGATCATCAAATAAAGACTTATGCGGTACACATATGTATCAGTTGGTTGGCGCTCCTTTTGACTTTCGACCTCAAGAGTGAAAAAAAATTACCGAATCAAACAAAGACCTCAGGGTCTAGCATGGCATGGTCATTATTGAATGGCGCCACAGATTCTATTAAGAAAAAAATGAAACACAACCATCACTACATACACACACACACACACAGTTAAATACTTGTGTACTAGAATTGTGAATGATCAAGGTAAGATGTCATTATCTTCATCATTGGTAACAATCAACAACGGTAACGTTTTTTAATTCTTAAAACATTCACTTTCATTTATTTTTGGTAAGCAAAAAATTTTTAATGAAATATTCAACTGATTATTGAATTTTCACTAGATAGGTCAATTTTTTTAATGATGCCGCTTTATCTTTATTTTGGACGTCCATCATCATCATCATCATCACATATAAACAAACACTTAGCGATATATATGGGTACAAAATGTATAGCATTTTCAAGGTTTAAAATTTCAAACAAACGTAAAGAAAAAAATTATTATTTTATCCAAAACCGATTATTATCATCATTATTTATAATCATTATTGTCGTTAGTATGTAATCAATATCTATTATGGTCAATTAACTTTAAATGGACCACTTTTATGTTCAACTTTCTCCTTTTCTCTCATGTGTATGTTTATATAAATGTTGTTATATGGTTGTTCTTGAACTAACAAAGCCATTGTTGTTGTTTTTATTGTTTGATGATATATTTGATTGTCTATTTGTTTGTTATAATCAAAACTTGAATATAATGTCATTGTATGTTTACCGTATATACGGGAAAAAAGTAAAAGATGAAGAGGAATGAAGAAAAAAAAATACTTACAGCAGCAATGCGCATTTACAGGAAAGAAAAAAAAATAAACATACATTGTATATTATCATTATCATCATTCATATATTTATCATCAATTGATGGATATATATCATTACATATCAGATAAATCTATGATGATGATGATGATGATGATGATTATGATTATTATCATCATTATTACTATTATTATGATTATCAATCAACACATTATAAGCATAGGTTTTCACACACACAAACAAACATACTAATCATTATCAATTATGACAATTTGATGCGGTCCCCAGTAGCATCAATTTACATCATTATAATTATTTATTTATTCATAAATTTCATTCATTCAGAAAAAAATCAAACAATCAATTTGTATGTGTAGGTGAAGAAAAAAAATCGATTTTCCAATTAACATTTGTTTGTTGTTGTTTTTGTTTATATTTGAATACAAAAAATATATTGATTTTATGATCGGTAAATTGTTCTTTGATCACTCGATAAATACATTCGCAGTTGATGATCGACAAGTCAGACCAAAAAAAAAAAAAAAAACAAAAAACAAAAAACCATACGGCACACACACATAGTTTTTTTCACCAAAAGAAAGCAATAACTGAAAAAAAATTCAAACCAGTCAATCAGAATTTCTTAATGTTTGACCGCTGATCATAGTGGTTGGTGTTCCAGAAAAAAATTATATTTATATTTAAAACAAAACCGATGAAAAAAACAAGTTCGTTTTTAATTACTCGTTTTAAACGTAGATTGGAAAACAGAATTATAACAAGGACAAAACTTTCACCTGTCTCGGCGACAAACAAAGCTTCAGTAAACGAAATACATTTGAAAGAAAACAACCATACAAGTTTTTAATTAATTTTTATTATCTTTACCGATGTAAAAGAAAAAGCGATAATGAAAACTTTTGTTTGATTTTTAATTTTTTTTTCAAGAAAGTTTTTACCAATCGATTCCCAAAAAAAATCATTCAAAAGAATATATGGTAAAAAAATGGAAAATAACATTTTTCATGTAAATTGTATCAGGTTGCAAAATTGAAACAAATTTAGGAAGAAAATGCAAATTTTAGGGAAAATTTAAATTTCAAGTAGCAATTGACTGAAAAAAAGCAATCATCTTCATGATCATCATATGAACATTTTGTGTGTTTATAATAAAACAAATAGCAAAAAAAAAAATGTAATCAAATCTGGATCATCATCATCTGCAATCAAATTGTCGAATCAAAACAACAAAATTGAAAACAAAACAATTTCGCAAGTGAAAAAAAAACAAAAACAAAAAATTTCGCGGCCATTCAAGTGTGTATATGAGTGAAATGTGGAGAAAAAAATTGGAAATATGATCATCATCATCATCATCATCATCATTGAGGACATATAAGGATAATCATCAAACCAATTTTTCATCATCATCATCGGTTGAATATCTTTGATGGTTTGTCTTTACCAACAAAAAAAAATTCTGGTTATATCACAGAAAGAAAAAAAAATCAAGCCATCAATCATTTAGATGGTTGACGATGATATGCTGATGATGAGATTTTGAATCACTGTGATTCAATCTCATCATCATCATCATAATCATCAACATGATGATGATCACATCTAGTTACCGTTTTATTCCAATTTTTTTTTACTCAACTGCAACAAGATCGGTTGGCTACGACCGACAAAAAAAAAGCCAATTAACAATGCACATACTCCAACAACCAAAATGCTCATCACTCATCTAATTCCAAAAAGAAATTATAATGAAGATTGAAATGAAAAAAAAGAATAATTTTCTTTAAAAAAAATTATCTTCCGAATCCAAAATTATTAAAATTATTTTGATTAGCATTTCATTCAAAACAAAATTCAAATTGAAATAATGTAAAAACCAGTGAATTTGAAATAACTCTTTTGGATTCTTTTTTTTTTTGCTCCTCTTCATTCTTTTTGTTTAAACATCGATTCGATTCAATTCAATTCTTTTCGTTTTTTTTCAAGTTTAAACTGTTTTTGTGTGTATAGATAATATTTACATTGGTGAATGGTTTTAAACTAACATACACACACGTTTTCATTTGCTGTTTTTTGTTTCTGTGTCGTCATCATCAAATGGGTGGTTTTTTCATGCTCAACAGACCAATAAAGCTGTAGGATATTGTCGATAAAGGTGGAGCTTGGCCAACATACAATATCATTCATACATATTCAAAAAGGACTGAATGAAGAGAGAGTTTTAGCTATTTTCAAGCAAGATTTTCAAGTTTTTTTTTGTATTTCGTTGTTTTTCCGAGGATCTCAAATGCTATACAATCAATGTATTCAGTGTATATTTTGATCAATTCGAGTGTGCGTCAATTTTTTTTCTTCTTTAGTTTCAACATCGTTTATTTTGGTATAGAAGATGATGAGAAAAAAATCTCAGATCATTCAAAAAGTTTGCGGCAACAAAATAAAATAAAAATTATAATTCATTTAATGATAGTGTTCGAACGTGTGTGTGTGTGTGTGTGTTCCAAATCAATCATAAACAAATGCTGAACCAACAAATCTGTTTTCAATAATTCAAATCAAGATTAAATTGATGAAAATTCATTATCAAGCAAAAAAAAAACAATATATTTGATACAAATTCAAATTAACATTGTTATTGTTAACAAACAAATCAAACATAATCATAATGATTAGAACAATAATTGATAAAATCAAACGATTCCGTCAATTTCATCACAATTATCATCATTATGTTGAACGACAATTTTATATAGAAGTTTATCACATGTAATAAATGAATGATGATTATATCTCATCTTCATAATACAGCAAAATAATTTCAAATCACTCACACACATGATAATTACAACTGTATGTATTCCATATTCTTCAATGGTTTATCATTATTATAATCAATTTGAGTGCGGACTATATAATTTTATTTGATTTTATTTTTGACGGATAAAAATATTGATGATGATAATAATAATTTAATAATATATTCATATTGCAATTGTAAAAAAAATCTATGATTATCGATATTACTAAATTATTATAAATGAATAAAAACATCTTGTGAAATATTGTGTGAATTAATACATATTATATATGTCATCTCATTGATCATCATTATCATCATCAAAATTGTGTCCACTGTTTTGTGTAATTAAGTGTAATGTGATTCGGTGTTGGTAATGTTGTTCCTATTTTTTATGAATGAATTCTAAATAATTATCATTTAAGTGATCATCATCATTATCATTAAAATCAGTAATTGATTGTTAATTGTATATTTTATTACTATAATTTTAACCACCATCTACAACATATTTTCTTTTTTTCAATGACCACGTGTTTCTTTCGTGTTTATGTTTGATGTTTGTGTGTGTCTTGATTAATAAATTAAACATCATTAGAATTAGCAAGAATCAATATTAATAATATCAATTCAATCGAAAATTCAGCATCGTTTATAAACAAGCCGTTTAAAGGCAAGAAAAAAGAAAAAATTATTTTATTACAACAAGGAACTAGAACAAATTTCACCACGCTGAACCTAACGGATAATTTTTCCACGTACCCAATGTCGGGTACAGTGGACATCTTGGATCATCAAGATTTAAAGCCATCACAATCGGCTTTCATGGATATACAACAACAGGCGGCAGCGGCTGGTTTATCAGCCATGTCGCAACACCATCATCATCATCATCATCAACATCATCCACATCATCAATCGCCATATTCAACATTTCGTTCAACATATGGTGGATCATCGGTTAATAATCATCAAACACATGATGGTTTTGGCATTGGTGGTGGTGGAGTTGGTTTACAACAGAACCGGACATCCTCATCATTGGCTGGTGCATATCCATTTGCAGCTGCAGCTGCAGCAGTATCGATGAATTCACATTCACCATTACATAATAGTTTTTCACATTCAGCCGCATCTCATCCATATCTTGGTTCACCATATGCATCCGCATCAATACCACCACCACCATCATTACAGCCATCATCAGCAACATCATCAACAACGACAACATCATTAACCTCCTGTATACCATCATCATGTCAACCACATTCGCCACAATCACGAGATTCAAAACATGATTCATGTAAGTCGTATTTCATTCAAAAAAAACAACATACGCGAACATATTTACAATTTGAATTTAGCTTGTTATCCAATTTATTAACTTTGTATCGATTTCTTACTTTTGATCTTTCAACTTCACCACCTGTTGGTGGGAATTTCAATATCTATTTATTTGTTTTGTTTTGTTTTTTTTGTATGATTTCGTTTTAATTTATTGGATTCAATTCATTTGATTGATCTATTGTCTTAAATCATTCATACCAATATAAATTAATGATTATCATCTTCATGCAATTACGAACAACAACAAAATCATTCTTTTTTGGACCAATGTCATGCTTGATATGATAAAATGATATTGTCTGTTTGCTGATTTGCTTTACTAAATTTGACTCCCAGCATTTTTAGCAAATATAAAAAAACAAACAATTCAAAATGAAAAGAAAAGAAATTCAAATTCACAAGATATATGAGATAAAAAACCAATATTTCTTACGAATGTAAAGGGAAAAAGAAAGAGAGAAAAAAAAACAAATTCAGCCAAGCAAAAAACAAACGAAATGTGAATTTTTCTATCAGTTTTTTGTTGTTGTTGTTGGACTTGCTTGACTCCATCATCATCATCATCATCTATGGTGTGTTGTCATTGACGCAAAGTAGCTTCTCTCGTTATTTTAGGTTTGAAAGATATATATGAAATCGACGATTAGGAAGTTAAAAATTTTATCGTCATAAAGGAGTCTATCTATCTATCCATTCATTCATCTTGCAATGGTTTTTATAATATTTATGTCTATCCATTTCAAATACATTTTTCTCAAGCGAATGAGCACACACAAATACACATAAACTCAAAAAAATAATGTTTAAATATATAAGATAAGGAAATGACAAATTCAAACCAAGTTGAATAATCATGTATTTTATTTATTTGGATATTTTTTTCGGAGTGGAAACAAAAGCCTCTTGTTTTCTTTAAAATGTTATATGTATTTATAAATGACAACTGTCGTTTTGTCTTAATAATTATGATGATGTCATAAAATATGAACAAAATTTAGAAAAAAAAATATCTATTTTTATTCATAAAAAACAAGAACATTTCATAATATTACGTTTTAATAGCATCATCAGAATATTGCAACAAAATCTAATGTAAATATGTTATGTTATATGTTATGTTGAATGTATGAATATTCGTTTTATTAAATGGAAGCAATATGATTTGGTTGAATTATTTTTGTAAAAGAAAATCTGTCCAAATCTGTGAAATATTATCATTGGGTGAACTGTTTTAAGTTATAAAGCTTATAATATAATTGAAATATGATTGAAACGAATGTAAAGAATAATAGAATTTGAAGAAATTAGAATTATTAGAATCTGGCTTTGGCCAATGATGACGATTTTTTTCTTGAAATTCTTCTGAAAAAAATTGTTAACAAAATCATTATCATCAGCAACATTAAAAGTTTTTAACATCAAATCAATACAGAAAATTATAGCAAAAATTGAAAAAATGGCTGAAAAAGAAAGAAAGAATGAAAGAAAATTCTGAAATTTGCCATTTGCAATTCGATACGTTGTCGTTGTTGTTGTCGTCATCAAATCATAATAACCATAGCCTAAATCAATGGTGTGTCAAGGTCTCTGTCTGTGTATGTAAAGTGTTTCTATATCGAATTACAGGATAGAAAAAGAATGAAAATAAAAATACAAAATCCACCTATACACATCATATCAATATTCATCCGCCTAGCTGTTCATCATCGTCATTGATCGACCACCAAATGCAGCAAACTAAAAAAATTTAAAAAAAAAATCTGAAAAACAATATTATTTTACCATTATATTTGGCGTTATATATGCAAATATATTTTGTTTTTGGCCAAATACAAAGGCAAGGCGTTTCGACGAGACAGTAAAACAAAACAAAACCAATGCTTGTTGTGTTTTCATTGATTTTTGTTTTTGTTTTGATGATTTGACCATATCAACTCATCACCATTCAATGTTATTGAATGGTGACTTGATTGTTTTGCTTTTGATGTTCATTGTTTTATCTTTCAAATAAATATTTCCATTGTTTTTTTTTTTCGTTTCTCGGTTGATTATGGTTATAGTTTTTTGTTTTGTTTTTTGCCACTCTATTTTTATGCATGATGATGATGATGATCATCATCATCATCAAAATCTTAAAGTGTCAAAACTTTACCTTTTTCTGTTTTTTGTTGTTTGATGTTGATTTCTTTCACCCGAATTTTGATTGATGCCATCACATTGCATGTTTGATGATGATGATGACCAGCAAGCTACCATAACTCAAATCAATAGCTGTTATTGTTTTCTATTTTTATTTCAAGATGTTAGAATTGGACATCGAATTGGACAGATGGATAGAAATGAAATGAAATTTGAATGAACATTTGGCTTAGTTTACTTTTATTTGCCATCATCATCATTCATCGAAATTCATTTAAAGAGAGAGACATAGAAAAAATGTTCATTGAATAACATCGAAGATTAAATGACAGTTAATTATATGTTTGCTGTTAGATTTCGAATTTTTTCTATCTGTTTTGTTTTGTTTCGTTTCGTTTTATTTTCACTGACATTGGCAAGAATACATACAATTCAGGATTTTGCCAATGATTTTGATGATAAAAGTTTTTTTTTATTTTATCATTTAAGAAAAAAGATGATGAAAATTCATTCATGTTGGTTATTTTTTTTTTGGATTTTATGGATGATAGATGTTTGATTAGATCAGAGTGGTTAATACAAAAAAAAATCAAATAGCCAATTCATTGGGGAGAAAAGTCATTGGACTTGATTGAAAATATTATTCAATATTCATCCATAAATTTATGATTCGATGTTGACATATACATTTATAATCATCATTTGATTCTAGACAAGAAATTAAATTCACAAAATTAATTCATTTTTTCTCTTTTATATTTTATATAGCTAATAATAATAATTCAAAAAATAATAATAATAACAACGGTAGTGGTGGCGGTGGAGGTGGTCTTGATCCTGAACCAACAACCGGTACGACGATACGTGTAAATGGAAAAGGAAAAAAGATGCGAAAACCACGTACAATATATTCAAGTTTACAGTTACAACAGCTGAATAGACGATTTCAAAGGACACAATATCTGGCCTTACCTGAACGTGCTGAATTGGCAGCTTCGTTAGGTTTAACACAAACGCAGGTATGTGTTGAATGCAAAATAAGGAATGCAAACAAAAACGAAAAAATACCTAAATTCTGAGACAAACAAATATTTTGACTATTATAATGTAAACAAACAAAAAATCTTATTTTTTGATTGACATTCATCAAACAAATATTGATTTACACTTGTCAATAGATGATTCCATTAGGTGGTAAATTGATTTGTACGAGCAAAATAAATTCAACAACAACAACAACAAAAAGTGACAGACTTGATATATCATAAATGTGTTTCATTTTACACAAAATGATTGAGTGATTTTTGTTTTTCTTGACACATTTTATTGGTGACACTTTCACTCATTGTTTCGATCCTCATCATCGATTATGATGATGATGACACCAAGTCACAGTAGGGTCTTGTCTGGGTCATCCTGCTGATTTACTGCTGTCTGACAATAATATCAAAAAAAACTAAATTCATCAAGAGAAAGTATTTTGGAAAAAAAGGAGACTACAGAATTGAAAGTCAATGTCATTAGACATTTTATTATTTAGAGCTTAAAAAAATTTTAATCAATTTCGTTGATTCGTGTGAATTTTTCGCTTTCTTTCATTCACATTGATTTATTCAGGAAAAAAAACACAGAAGTCATTTTTTTTGTTAATTATCACTGTTGTCTATCACCGGAGATTCAAAAGATATTTTCAACAAAAAGAAACAACCGAGAAGAAACCATGCAACCGTAAATCGATTTGCATATGTGAACATGGTGTTCTCTCTCTCTGAAAAAAAGAACCACGACAACGTCGTCATCATTATAATGATAATCTTCATAGACATTGTTTTTTTTTTGTCACACACTAACATATAGAGATTACAAATGACCATTTTGGAAAAAAATATAGACAACAAAAACAACAAAAAAAAAAATTGGATAAATTCAAGGTGCTACAAAGACTTTGTTAACTACTTACTTAATTCTATCCATCAGATCGGTAGATAGATAGATAGATGATGAGAATTTTTTGAAAAAATCCTCATTTTTTGAATAGGAAAAAAAATTATAAATGCAAATGTTTGTTTTGTTTTTTTTTTGCTTTCGTACTTGATGATGTTAATGGTTTAAATTTGGAAAATTATTTCGCTATAGCCATCATTATTAATTATCATCATCATAGTAATTCTGTTTAATTATCAAATTGATTTATAAGTGAATCAAAAAAAAATCCTATTTTCCATGAACCAAATTTATGCTACTGGAAGGGAAATTACTGATTTATCATTTTTTTCCGCTAAATTTTCCTCGTTACAAAAAAAAACATCACATCAACATACAATATCCATGTGAAACAACAACAGTAAAAGAAAGAAATATTGACAACAAAACTTGACTGATTTTTTCTTTTCCTATAAAAACATATTTTTCCTCAAACATTTATATTTCCTTTTTCATCTGTCTACTGGTATATTTGTGACATAGTCACAAGCATAGTCAAAAAAGAAGGAACTTCAAATACACTTGATAAAAAATTCAAAACTATTTTGCAAAGAAAAAAACAACAAGAAACATAATGAATAATTATAACCAGTAATTATAATTTGCAAAAGTTTTCTTGTTGTTGTTTTTTTGGTTGGTTGTTGGCTTCTGGAAACTATCGAAACATTGTTGGATTCGAATTTTTTCATTTTCATTTCGATTCGATTCTATTATTTCAGAATACATGAATGAAATCAATAATGATTGAAACAATTTGAATGACAATGACGATCAATTCGGAAAAAAATAAAACAAAAACAAAATCAGACATGCAAAAAACATGACAACTGAATAATATACAAAATTTTGTCAGCCTAGAAAATATTTGTAGACAACAATCAATCGGTTCCAGATGTAAATTCCCATAGCAAAATGGTAATACAAAAAAAAAGGTATTATCAACGTCATTATTATCATCATTATCGTGTACAAAATATTTGCTTCTGTTGTTGATCGTTTGATCTTGTTGTTGTTGTTGTTGTTGTTCAAGATTCTTTGCATATTTTGTTCGTCACACACTTGATCAATTCTATTATTATTATTATTTCTGGATAGAATATTGCGTGCAATTTCAGGTCACTTTCGAAATGCAAATTCTTTTTTGCATTTCTTTATCTACTGAGAGAATTTGTTATTTCGTTTGGTTTGTAAAAGAAAGTTTTTTTGAGGGAATATTCTATTCGTCACGCGTAAAGAAAATCTATTTTTTCTTTTTTGTATTCATCGATGATGATGATGATGATGATAATGATCATCAGGCAAGAAGGAAAAAACTTTTCCCATTGATCTAATGATCATCACATGACATACCTTTAAACTCCTGATTTCCTCAGCATTAAACATCATCATCATCATCATCAAATATAATCCTAAATCAATAAATCTTTGATCTAGTTTTTTTCACACAAAGAAAAAAACAACAGCAACAAATTATTATTCAGCAAAAATATATTTTTCAATATTTTGCATAAATTAAAATTTCTTTTAAAAATGGAAAATAAATCTAGTTGTGGGTGTTTCATTTATATTATGTCCCCCAGCATTATCATTCTGTAGGGCAACAACAACAACAACAACAAAAAGTTTTACACTCATTAGGACGATCATTAGTCATTTCGCTTTCACTATTTCGAATTTAGAGATTTTCAAATAAGAGAATATGATAAAATGTGATGATCATCATCATCGAATGAAAATCGAAACAAAAATTTTTTTGTTTATCATCGATTTAATAAATAAAACTGATTCTGTTGTTGTTTTTCATCATGTACATCGATTTTGCTTAATGCTTAATGCTTATATGTTTATAACAAACAACATACTATCCAAATTCAAAGAAAGAAAGAAAGCGAGAGAATCATTTATTTTCGACCTCGAATTAAGGTGTGGGTTTTCATCTACAATGTATGTATGGATGCAAACTATCCAACCAAACCAAAAACCAAAACCAAAAAAAAAGACAACAACAAACATTAGTAAAACTATGATGGTATGGGTAGTTGAGAAATATATTATACACACATGTGTATCCATTGCTCTCATCATCATCATTGATGCGTTGAATTTCTTGCATCAGCCATCGGCAATGCTTGATGTTGATGATCATCAGCATCATTTTTTTTATTATTCATCAGAGAGGGAAAAAAATTCTTTTTATATCATTTTTAGATGAGACTGTTGATCTTATAACAAAAAATGTTTCATTCCAAAACAAAAACTATTTTAAACATTGGCAATAGAGGTGATGATGATAATAATGATTGGATCGCCAATCATCAACAATTCTTCACCATAGTCGAAGCCAGTCAGCCACCAGTTTACCTTGGCCATTTCAATATTTGTTATTTGAATGTTAATGTTTTCAGCCAGCCAAAAAAACAACAACAACACTAACACAAACAACATAGACCATTGTTTTCAAATGAACATTTTATTTGTTTGTTTGGAAACTGAAAAAAATGAAAATCGAAGAATTTCTACAGGCGAAAAAAGCCACATCGTTTTGAGATTGGAGAAAGTGTGCGAGAAGAAAGAAATATTTGTTTAAAATTTTGAAGTTTTGTTCCAAAGTTGTTGTTGTTGTTGTGTTTCTGCTCTAAGCATCATCGCATCTTTGATGAAAAAGTTTTTTTTTGTTAGGATGAGGATGGTTGATCCATTGTTTTCCGAATAACACAATCTGAATGATTGAAATGAACTTTTTATTTTTCATTCTAAAACTACAATGAATTTTACTTTCGTTTTTTATTTTCTCTATTTTATTTAAAATTTAATTTAACCCATTGTGTATTCATTATCGAAATGAATTGCTTTTTATTTCAAACACAAATAAGACCGACAAACAAAACGAAAAAGAATACTATTTGATGATGACCATGTAGACATTGAAGAAAAACAAAAAACTCTAAAATTAAACCAATAGAAAAGTAAATGACAGACAAAATAGAATTTTTCATTCATAAAGCTCACAGTATGAGATAATTATTCCGAAATAAAACAAAGCAAAATGTTTGAACCACAAAATCTAAAAGAGTTTGAAAAGTATGTTCATGTTTGTGTGTATATTCTTTCTTAATGAATAAAGCCGACAAAGATTCATTATCATCATCATTTTAATGAATTGATTGATGAATTAGGTTTTACTTTTGGTTGGAAAGACCTCACTTAATGAATGTATTATTTGTTTGTGATAATTTTGGTTTATCAGGAAAAAATTTTGTCTTAAGTTTACATTTGGAAATTTCATTCACTTTATAACACATTTATTTTTTTCCATTGTGTGATCAATAACCTGGGTGTTCCAATGAGAAAAAAATTTACTTCCTCATCACTCATAATTCATCAATTGTCTTCATATCTATCAATCAGTTAATTAATCAAAATATCTTTGATTTTTTTCCATGATGAAATGTGAATCAATAAATGAATGAATGAATACATTGAGCACGCAATCATTTTCACTTCACACAAGATGTTTGTGGCTTGTTTTTTCTTCCCCTTCTTTTTTCATTTATTATGAAAACAAAATAAAATTTTATGCAAATAAAATTTTTGAAATAAAAGAATCAAAATCATATAAAGTGTATAGACAAATACAATAAACAACAACAACAACAACAAAACACGCGAAACAAGAGTTTGGGTTTTTTTCTTTTCTCTCACTTGATGTTCATTCATTCATTCATTTATTTTATTTTGTTTGTTTGTTTGTTTGCTTTGATGATGGGAAATGATTTTGACTATTCATACATACATTGGTGGATACGGATCACTTGGCACATTTGCCGATTTGGCAATGTCCAAAAAGAATACCTTCAGATTGGAAAACAAAACAAAACAAAAACAAAAGGGGAAACAAAATCAGTTCACATAAAGTCAGTCAGTCTTATTTTTCTTCAAAAATGATTTTTTCCTCCTCTTCCCTTTTCTTGTTATTCAATCAGTATGTCAGTCAGTCAGTCATTCAGTTTGATATTCCTGTTTAAAATCCGGTCACAATCATTGTTTTTTTTTTTGTCAAATGAATGAAAACAGGTAGACATTCATCAGATACAAATATTCTGATTTATATATGATAAACCTTTCAATAATGATTATGATGATGATACAATTTATTGATTAACTTTTCTTTTTTATTTTTTTGTTGATTTTTTCAGGTGAAAATATGGTTCCAAAATCGTCGTAGTAAATATAAGAAAATGCTCAAATCATCACAGCCAGGTGTCGGTGGTGTTCCTCCACCCACAACAACAAATGGTTCAGCAGGTTCCGGTTCAAGTCTAGGTCATCCACCTCAAGCAACCACACCACAAACACCACCAGAAACTCCTGATTCAAATTCACCATCAAGTGTTGGTCCACCACAATCAATGTTATCGACGCCCGGTGGTGGTCCATCTCAACAATCACAACAACCCGGTAACGGACCCGGATCATTAGGATCGACAAATTTATCATCATCATTATCGAGTACAATTAGTCCACCATCGGCAATGAGTCCACCGATTACCTCATGGGATATGAATCCAGCCAAAACATCAATGGCAAATAGTTATATACCACAATATTCTTGGTATCATCATGGACATGATCAATCAATTAATCAACAATTATTAACGTAATATTAGAAATTGTTGATGATCAATGCAAAAAAAACAAGAAGAAAATATCAACAATTTAAAAACAAAACTAACAAATATGGAATTCAATCAAGAATTAGGATTCAAAAAAGAAACATCACATTAAAATATATATAATTGTCATATTCATTGCAAACACATATGTTTCCATTTCTCGAAAAAAACAAACACACACACACATCCATTTGTATAGCAAGTTTGATTCTCATCATCATCATTATTATTTTCATTTTTAATCATTATTAATCATATCATATAAATCATCAATTGATTACAAATATTCCGAATCTATTCGGATTTCTTTTTTCTCGAAGAAATTCCGGAAATACATCACCATCATCATTATAATTTCTTTCTTTGCTTAATTCAATCATTCCATTTTTTTTCTCTCCGCTGTACGATAATTATCATTTTCATTATTGATTAATTGATTTGATTTGATTTAATTTCAAATATGCATATATCAGAGCTCTTATTTGATCGTTTTTTCTATATATATAAAATATATATGGGTAAACGGTTTAAGGGCCACAGAAAATAAATAGGTTTTTTTCAAATTTTTTTTTCTTTTGCTTCATTTCTTTTCATTTATTTTATTTACGCAATGTTTGATGTGTTTTCTTTTTTTTGTATTTGCTGAAAAATTGTATTTAAAAAAATAAGTAAAAATATTGACAAAATCTATGAAGATATTCATGATTTTTTCTCTTACTACAGTTCCAGATTCAAAAGAATCGATTGATTGATTGATTGATTGAAAATTTCAATTATTATTGATCAACTTTATTGATTTATACATTTTTGTTGAAGAAATAATTATTACATTTCGATTTGTTTTTTTATTTTGTTGTATCGGACATCAAAATTGAGCGACATTTGTGAATAAGATAGAAATCGGATTTTATAGCGCCCAAAAACAAAATTTATTGATTTGAATCAATAGGATTTCATTTTCAAAGAGTGGATCTTTCGTTTGAGGATATAAAATCCTTGAAACAAAAACAAAGATTTTCAAACACTCACAAAATTCTCTTTACAATCCAGGTGAATAGAAAAATATCTTGTTGAGAGTGAAACAAAAAAACAAACAAAGAATCCAACTTAAACAAACTTTACGATGATCAACTGATTTGATTAGCTGTTAGCAGTTGATTTTATTTTATGTCCAGAAGCACGAAATATATTTTTCATTGAATTTTGGATTGAATCGAAGGAAAAATAAGTATAAAAGAAATAAAGAAAAAAAATCATAAGAAAGAAAAAAAGATTTCGCACGATTTCTCAAGCGAACCTAAAGACAAACAAACAAACAAGAACGAATAGACCAAGTCATGGTTGGTTGGATCGAACAAGCAAAAAAAAGAAAAAAATTCAAACCAACAACCGAACGAAGGAGAAAAGGATTTTTTTTCCTCAGTTTTTTATTCGAGGTAAACATGGATAAGAAGACATCCTCCATCGTCATCATCATCACCATCATCATCATCATCATCATGGACGTCAAGGCAAAAGAAAAAAATCAACAGCGAAAAGGAATCCTCTAAAAATAAAATTGGTACATAAAACGGATGTCGATTTTTTTCTTGTTCAAAATGGAACACAACTGACATGTCATAAAACATTATGGTTTTTTTTCTACTCCAAAATCACAACACAAACATAAACAAATATAAACCGAATGGATGAAGTCTATTTTCCTTGTTGAATGAATTGTTTTTGATATTTTTTGTTCATGCCCATCATCATCATCGTCGTCGTCATCATTGTTTTCATCAACTACGATTTTGTGTGAAACATCCGACATTCAAAATTGAATTCAAATTTGTCATGATTGAATTGGATGGATGTTATATATGGAGAAATAGAAAGAAAGTGAATTCAAAAAAAAAATAAATGGCATCCTAATTGATGATGATGATGATGTGTTGTGTTTGAGTAAAGGAATGAAGAAAGAAGAGGATGGAAAGAAAATACTTAAAACATTCATTTGATGAATCCAACAAAATCCGGTGACATGAAAATAACTGGTATAAACAAAATTTTTTCTGAATTAAAAGAATAGCAGCAGCAGCAGCAATAACAATAGAATGATTATCAACAAAAAAAAGCGAAATACAAAATGAAAGTGTGACCAATCATGGATTCACACACACACAAACATCTTATGAAGAAATACTATTTTCATCCAAAAAAAAATGTGTATTTAGAAAATTTCAAAAAGGCTATTTTTTGAATTATTTTGAACAGGCCAAAACTATCAAGGTGCAATAGGAATTAAATGCATTTTTTTTTGATGTCCATGTCTTTTTTTCATTATTATTGTGACACGTGACAGGCAGTATTGTAAATGAAAAGAAAAAACTTTTTTCTCTTTTAAATCAATGAATTGATCTTTTTTCTTCTGTATATTCTTCAAATATTTTGAGCATCATCATCAGCGGTAAATTTTGTTGCTGTTGTTGTTGTATGTGCGATGCTGTTCGAGATAATTTTGGGCAATTATCTGACGACGATAATTTGACAAATAAACGAATTAAATACATACATCATTTGATGATTAAAGAGCAGCACAAATCTTGACCATGTCCGCGTATTATTTAGAAGTCTAACAAATAAGACTATGAACATCATGGAAAAATTACATTCAATTTTGTTGTTGTTGTTATCGGCTACGAAAACATCGTGACAAACTGGTCCTCGTCGATTGATTAGACAGCCAAAAAAAAATTGAACGAAATTGTCGATATTTTTTCTATTTTGGTCGATTTTTTTTCTATTTTACTTTTGTTCAATCATTTTTTATATATCCATCCTACGCATCATTTGCGGACACAATCATTTTCCGTGTAAGTGTAGGCTTTTTTTCGGTTCAGAGTTCGTGAAATCTCTTTGATCACTGAAAATTGATCAAAAAAAAAACAAATTTTGTTTTGTTTTGATCATGTCCAAGTGTGGGCGTCATTATTTTCCATTCATCTTTTTTGTTGTTGTTTCACCGTTTTATTCAAGCGATTATCAGCATCATTTTTGTGATTTTTTTTTGATTATTATCGATCATCATTCAGTCAACAACAGAAAAAAAACAATCAAAAGAAAAAACCCTCATGGCTATGAAAAAGATGAGAACAAAAAAAAAACAATGTTATTGACAAACCATGACGACTCGAATGTTGTTTTATTACAACAACAATAACATGAATGAATGAATGAAAACTCGGAATTCCGGAATTTGTCGCCGCACGATCATGAATTTTTTTCCAATTTTTGTTGTTGTTGTTGTTAGTTGCACATTGGAAAAAATCATAATGACTTTTTAATTAAAATAATATTCTATTCTATCATTGTCTATCCATTTATTTATATATTCTGTAAATGATATAAGTAATACTAATGGTCCAGAATACTAATTCCAAAATGATATTAATAAAGATTTTTTTTCTCCTTTTAAATTTGAAACACTGACAAAAAAAACTATATAGCTTTATGATTCCATCCAACAACAACAAAAAATTAATCTTCCAAACAAAAAAAAAACATGGACAATATGAACCCTCACCAAGTATGAAAGAAAAAAAAACAAAACAAAATCACTTTCAAAGTGCCGGAAAATGTATAGTGTGTAGATAATATATAACAACAGCTTGTGTATAATAATTGGTATCAAATATTATAATTGGTTTTAATGGATACCAATTGAGATTCATTGAATAAACCAATTACACAAGTATAAAATTGTCGCTCGCTCTTTCTATACACACACACACATACATATCCTACATCTCTATTATTATCAACCAATTTTTTGTTGTTGTTGTTGTGTTTTATTAATAAAATATTATGCATCAGACATAACAATTGAACCTTTCATCTAATTTGATCCAATAATGGCGCCATTAAAGAATCCAAATTATTATTTTTTCTTTTTTTGGCTCAATAATAGATGATATCAATGTTATATAATTGATTGCTAATTTTTCATCCGAAAGCGGGAATCGATTCTTATTAAAGTTAATTATTTGATATGTCAAGCTTTGAACAACAACATTTAAAAAAAATTTAGCTTGTAAACCTGTGCTTTACCGTCTCTCTCTTTTTTTTTTTGGTTTCGGATTCAAACAAAGAAGATGCGTGTTTTATCATCATTGCCGCACATGCAGACAATAGACCCATCAAATTCAGATAATTCAAATCAGACATGTTGACTATCGACATTCGAATAGAAAAAAACAAAAATTCAATAGAATCAATACATATCTATGAGTTTATCATCATTATATGGATGATGTCCATGTAAAAAAAACAATCATAATTTGTTTTTGGCACGAATCTGAATAGTATAAAAGAGTGCCGGTGTTTTATTTTTTGATGTAATTTGCTACCTGGCCATATAAAGTATTGAATATTTTTTTTTCTTTTAATATCATAAAATACCGTCAATAATAAGACTTTAACAAAAAATCGAATAAAAAGAAAATTTTTTTTTTTTAAATAATTTTCGGAATTCCGTTTGAGAAAAAAAGATCAAAATTGATTGGCGCCATCATTATGGCAAAAATTATCTGTTTTCCATAAAATATGTTCAAAAATATTTGAAAAAGGCATTATTTTGATGAAAAATAAAACCCTATATCGTTTAAAATTACAGATACTATGCAGATATTATTGTCATCGTAATATTAGTGTGATAATTTTTGTTGTTGTTGTTGTTGTTGTCGCATTTCTTATAACCTAAAATGTAATAGATAAAATATTTAGTTTTTCTTTTTGTTCTGGAAAACGAATCAGAATTTAATAGCAATGATTATATATGCAATGCACATTGGAGTAATGTTTTACCCATTTGTATTTTTATTCAAATAATAAAAAAAATTGTCTAGATAGAAAAACCAGATCAAAGAAAAACGAAAAAATGAAAAAGAAATATGCAAATCATCGAGAAAAAATGACTTTATACAGAAAATATAGTTGGAAACATTTGATTGATTCATTCATTCATGCATACATTTTTTTTGTTCTGTTCGTTCGTATTTGTCCACTTAATACAGAATGAATTTGTACA